AATCACAGGGAGACATACGTCTCGCTCTACCTTTTGCCCTTATAGTTTCAGCTGAAACTCTCTATTTAGATTTCTCAGCATTCCTTTTCAGAAAAGACAGAGAACAAAACCAGCAGATAATATTTGCTGTAGGCTGTCACCTGGCTCCCTGACTTCTTTTATTATGGAATGGAAGAGAATAGCCAGACCAAATAACAATGTAGCTCAGCTGAACTACACGGGCAGAGACTTGGTTGCTGGGCTTGCGGTGGGGCAAAAACCATTCTCTCTGCATCTATATAGTGAGGGGGAATGCAGGAAAAGCTGTAAAGAAAAGGAGTGTAAAGTACAGGAAAGCTTGAAAGAAAAAAGGAAAAGGGCACAGCATAAATGAGAATAAGTGAAACTGAAAGGCACAAAAGGCTGAAAAGAATTTCAGCTCTGAAGAGTTTTTAGAATCAGAAGAAACCTGCAAAAATAAAAACAATGTTTCTTCTGGGTTCTTGGCAAGGAGATGACAATGATCTAGTGAAACGAGGAGAGAAAATCAGGGACTTTGGCTGAAAATCAGGGACAGTAAGTGAGATGAATTTTTAAAAGGCTTCAATGCTGAGAGAATAAGAAAGCTACAAATTATTTGGGGGAGAAGTTTGAAGACATGTTAGAGTGCTTTCTTAGGTATGGCTATTTGGCAGTATTTCTTGAAACCTGCCCTGAAGACTTGTGGAAAACAAGAAGAGCATTAGCTGAGCCTCCTTATAGCAAGACTTTGCTAGGAACCCATTGGACTGCAGTATGTAAGAGGGAGTTACAGTCAGCAGTTTCGCTTGGACTGGCGTACAGCCACTAAGGCTGCACGATACTTTACATCCCACTTTGCTTCAATTAGATTTTTCTGCTCCATCTTTCCTTAACAAAGTTACATCTCATTTTCCAGTAAAGGAATGGAATTAGCTGAAACAATTCTTGGTGGGTCTAAATGCAGCACATCTTACATTGCACTTGCTTTTAAGACGATGCTAAAAACCCTCAGTACTTAGATAACATTACCTTTCTTGTGCTAATGGCTGAAATAACAAGAAACAAGTATGCCTCTTATCTGTCTCTCAGTAAATCTTTAAACATCTGAAAATTCTTCTTAGATTTTCCTAAGTGTTCATTTGCTCAGCCAAGCTACGGGTCTGAAAACTGACATGCACAGACATAGTCACTTTTAAAATCATACTTTTACTGAGAACTGAATCTTTCCTTTTTCACTTTGGTAAAGAGGCTATCCTGTGTCAATAACAGTGCTACCTCTAGAACTGTAAAAATTCAGGAAAAAAGTGCCTTCAAGCCACCCTGTAGTTACATACATGGTATAAAATGTATCTCATGCAGAGGGGTAACTTCTGTCCATCCGTGTGGAGGCAAAGGAGATGATCCAATTCTGGACAGCACATTTGACCACTCCAGAACTTCCCCAGCCATTGCTCTTTGTAAGAATTGAAACATGTTCTTTGAGAAATTTAGAATTTTAACTCTTTTCTTCAAACTATATTCCTTTTGTATTGGATTTGGTATGCAACATTGACAGATTCCATTAGCTGGTTTCAGATGACATCAGTTGTCAAAGCTTCATTTGTGTCGAAGCCCATGCAAGATTTTGATGCTGAACTAAAAAGCAGACTGTAGAACATGAAGGTGATGTCACAAGCTCCTACCAGAATCTATCCTCATAAATCTCATTTCAATGACCAAAGATTCAAGTGCAACTATGTTTAAGAATGGACGGAGAAAGCACTGTTAATGAGGATGGATTATCTTTGTAACCCTTCTTGTTATGTTGCTGTGTGATATTTTTGTCAAAAAGATTTTCCTTTTGCTTTGAAAAGCATTCAGCTGTTCTTGCTTTTCTTTTAAATACTGACCATTGTCATGTTTATTGTGCAAGATTTGGTTAAATTATTTGATACAACTTAAGGATGTTAGATTTGGCTAAAATGCTGCACAGAAGAGTAGCTGTGCTTAAACCATATGCTGTTCTGTATTTTCATTCTTGGCTTTCTGTGCATACTGTTAAGATTTCAGGGAAAATGTAACTCAATTCACAGTAATGCATTTCTCAAAGTTTTATTCATGATTTATGCAGTTAAGTTGCATATGCTGTATTCAGACTGACAAGTAAAAGGCGGAAGAGGCTGCCTCAATCCTCAAGAAATCGTCAGGTCTCAATTTACCTCACCATACCCAGGAACTTGCTCTCCTCCTTGCTTTGTGGCTGTAGAGGACCAGACCTAAGCATGGTTTGTCTCAAACATTCTGAGTATTGCTACAGGAAAGGTGATCAGAGGAGAGGGTCCTGCAGAGGTGGGGCAGCGTGTTCTGAGCCAACTTCCTGCTCCACCCTGATACGAGTGGTCAGTTCCGTCCCCCCGCCCCCGACTCACTCCCTTGAGGGCTCTAAGGGCTGGCTGTGCATGTGAGATTTGTGTGAAAAATCGAGTTTGCCTAAGAGGCGTGCATCATATTAACTATAAAAGGGAGCGGATCGGGCCCGCTTGCTCCTCTTGTCTCTTTTTTCCTCCCTTCTCTTTTTCTTTCTCTTCCATTGTCTTGCAATCTCAGCTTCGGACTATTCACACAGCAGGAGCACTCTAGGATCTAAGGACTGATGAAATTCTTTGTTTTGTTCCCATGCTTTTCCTGAGCAAAGTACAGCTATCATATTCTATGCTGTACTGAACTCTTGTTCAAGTGGGGGAGCTTGTGGAAGTGTGTTATGGTTTGTGAGACAGCACCTTTGCTTAATGTTGTCTTGTGGCTTGCTAGTCATCACCTTTGGGTATTAGTGGTGTGGCTTTTGAGCCAGCCTCTTTGTGGAGTTTGTTGTGGGAGTTAAGAACTTATTGAAGTGAACTCTACAAATTCAGGGGTTTGTTAGCCACACCTTTTGAGCCTAAGCAGTGAGCTGGTTGGCAGTTATGGTGACTAAAAAGCAGACTATAGATCATGAAGATGATGTCACAAGCTGCTACCAGAAACATTTCACAGCTGAAATAACTGTGCAATAGCAATTTGAAGTCTAATTTATGGGGATTTATATTAAATTTTGCAATTTTTTTCAGTTGGGCAAATGGGTTAGGATAACCAAGATCTGACATGAAGCTTTGGGATGTAAAAAGGAAAGAGAACTTTGCTAGCTTGTTGCAAATTTCTGCGGATACTTTTGCAATTTTTAAACTACTTTCTCTCTGCCTTGTTTCTAGTTATTAACTTGCAAGAACTCTTCCGGCACATATGGAAGACCCTGAAAGTAGGTGCTTCCTCTCTTTTCTTCCCCTCCCATTAGATCAAGTCAAAGCTAAATGAGTACAATACTCCTTGCCAAGATTCATAATACTGAACATAATTACTGAAAACCTTACCCAGCAGTGCTTTTTCCACCATCAGTAGGATTATTCCAAGGGGGAAGTGATTTTACTTTTCCATAATTAATTTCCCAACATCACAGAGTTGTTCAGACCACAGAACTGTAATCTGCAATCAATAACAAAATTCCTTACTGGTTACAGTTTAGTTCTGGTACTTTGTAATTATGGGATTAGTGGTGACCTTCAGGTTGTTTCCTTTTACAATAGTCTTAGAAGGAAAGAAACATTCAGAATTGAATTTTACTGCATTTAAATTAGACACTTCTATTGCCATTTTTCTTCCTTTTCTTTTTTTTTTTTTTCCCTCTTCTCCCGTTTTTTCCATTCACATGCACATTTTGGTTATGTAGGTTCCTTGATCAGACCTATCAGACCTCGTGTATTAAGCCTAAAGGTTGCCAATTTTGGAGAAGGTTTAGCCTAATTTTCATCCAATGGCATTTTTTCAGCATGTTTAAATTCAAAACTATATGCTGATACATTTACATTTCTGGTAAATATACCCTGGATCTATTTCTGGGCATGATGAATAGGCAGTAGGAGGATAGCTGATCTACCTTTTTTTTTTTCTAGTGTGCATGTGAATGTCTGTCAACTCTACATGGATTTTCAGTATGCAAGACACATTTGGAGTATTATAGGGAATGGGAGCGTGTGTGTGTGTTGAACCAGAGGGAGTTCTGGTTCAAGATGATTATTTCTGCATTCAGAGCAGTCAGAGGCACACTTGAGTTCTGAATTAATTCCTAAGTTATGTGCATCCTTACTAGAGCAAAAATTAATGAGTGTGGGCAGAGATCTCCCTAATGAGGCCAGTGATGACAGATCCACGTGTGAATGGGAACAAGCCGCAGAATTGAGTGCCTCATGCCATCCTGGGGCCAGTTAAGGGCGGTGAGGTTGACAGGACGCAAAGATGTTCGGTGCCACCGTGAGAATTTAGGGCTGTGGCTCCTGCAGAGCTCCTTGGTGCTCTGCTGGATGTGCTCCAGGACGTCCATCCCGGGCTCCTGTGTTGGGGGTGAGAAGGAGAGCATGTTTTTCCACGTTACAATTCTGACTTCTGCTACTGTGCAGTAGTCTTTTGTTCTGTGCCACCCTCAACCTGCCAGGTTGTTTGCACTGCAATCACCTGCCTTGTTTGAAACATCCATCTTGCGCATTGCTGCACTCCTCCCAAAACGTAAGCACGGGCTGGGCTCTTCTGCTCGTTAACGCTGCACATAGTGTGCAGCACAGAGAATCCCACCCGTGCATACGAACTCTGCAGCACCGTGCATGCGCAATTAAAAAGGAGTAATAAAACTCCTCAAAGATAAAAACACCCAGCAAAAATGCGTGCACATAGCGGCAGGACTCAAAAAAGCAAAGCGATGAGCGACGACTCGGAGAGCGGCGCACGCGCAGCACAGTGAGTTACTGCGCATGCGCAGCGGCGGGCCGGGGGGAGGGAAGCTGCGTCTGGGACAGCTCGCTGTCTCCACCTGCTGGCTGACAGGAGGTGATGCTGACTCGGGAGAGCCGCGGTGTGCAGGGAGCGGCCGCAGCTGCGCACGCGCAGTGCCCCGGGACCGCCGCCCACACGGCGCGGCTTCTTCCGCTCGGTGCCGCCGCCTCATGCTGTAACAAACGTGCCGTACCGCAGCCGGGACCTCACGCCTTCCCTGGGTGCCGCCGCCTCGTGCTGTAACAAACGTGCCGTACCGCAGCCGGGATCTCACGCCTTCCCTGGGTGCCTCCGCCTCGTGCTTGTCCTGCCTTTGTGGGGCCACAGTGCCCAGAGTGCAAATCGCACAGCTGTGGCGGTGCTGCCGCCAGGCATTCGTAGTCTCCTGTTGCTTCTGTGGCCTGAATTGCTTCCAGTCAGCAAGAATTGTTCCCAAACGTCATTCCCCTCTGGAGCTCGGTAAGGTTATGTTCCCCGAAGTCCAGGTGCTGCTTCTTGGTGCTGTGTGCACTTCTTGCCTTTGACTGCTGTGAGCAGCTTTGTGTTGCAGCTCAGTGAAGTCCAGTTCAGTGGTTTCTATACCAGAAACCCCTGTAGTGAGCAATCAAAAGGGAGGTTTCCTGTTCCTGCTATATCTTGGCTTTCTGAAATTGCTATATCCTCTTGCATGCCGGTATGCCTGAGAGAATTCATGCCATGATTCCTCCAATTTGGCACTAGTCTGTACCTTGCTTGGGGCACAGAGCATCCTTGAGTGCATTGTTAGGAATCTTAGCATGGAAGATACTTGAGATGTGAAGCTGGAGATCATGCACGTGTTTGAAAAGCAGAAAGGTTTACTGGACTATTGTCACGTTGTTTTGAATGCAGCAAAGGAAGGCTGTCTATTGGCTGGGCCTGTCATTTGCACTAGCTCAGCTCTACTGTACAGAAAAAAATGTTTAGTGCTTTGGGGTTGTGCATTTCAACTGTAATGTATTGTCAAATTTGTCTAATGGGTCTTGCATGAATTTTATGTGTTAATCTTGTTGCAAAGCTAAAGGCTGAGAGGGAATGCTGTCAGTAATACAGAAAATACTACTGTGGGCATAGAATGCATCTGAATACCTCTGAAGAGACTGTGCTACCTCTTAGCTAGACGCTCCCACTCAAATAGTTGACTTTAAAAAGAAAAGTAGACAGCATGTCTTTTGTTTCTTCTGGTTGCTGAGGACTGTTACCTCCTGTTGAGACTCTTGAGACCCTGCAGCTTCTTTTGTACATTGGTAACTCTGTTGTGGCTTTAATTTGTTCTCTACCCCTATTATAAAGGTGGACTATGCATGACTGTACACACCATCTCCTGAACTAGTTGGATGTTATGGGGAATGCTAAGAAGGTGACAGATCAGTTGTTGTTTTAAAAACAAAGGCAATTCTTTGGGATGATTCCAGAGTACAAATCTCACACTCAGTTGTTGCTTTATTGCCATTGAGGGTGGTTGCTTTTAAGTTGATGAACACTGGTAGACTGTCTTACTTTGTTTGAACAGCCATGGTTATTTCATCCACCTCCAAAGCTTGGAAAGAAACTAAAACAGTGTTTGGAAATTGTTTAGAATAAAGCTGGTGTTCCAAGAGTGGAGTAAGCACTCAGGAGTCATTTAAGGAATCAGCTTTCCTCAGCACAAGAGGAACCAGCCATGGGCACCGCTGTGTAATATGGAGCACATGCAACCACTGCATCTCTCCGAGCGGCTGAGAACATACCTTCCAGTGTTTTGCAAGCAAGAGAGCTGTTTTACTTTTGTGTGTAAATATTTTTGCAATAGAATACAGGGACTCTCATATCTATGTGTGTGGCTGGGTGCATCTCTGAGATATTTAGGTATCTCTTTGAGATATTTAGGTATCTCTCTTTGAGATATTTAGGTATCTCAAAGAAAACTGCCTGTACTTGTGACTGGGACCATTCTGAGAAGTTCTTTCTTTGCTGTCCTTCACAGGAGGATATTACTTGAGAAGCGCTTATGGAGCACTTTTGCTGCTCAAGAAATTCCAGGAAAAACAAGCTGCCCAGCTATCAGTGCACCAGAAAAGCTGACCAGTCTGTCGGCATCCTGTTACAGGGACCCTTCATTGAGCAGTCCTGCTGGATTGGAGGGAAGTCTGACTGACATTCACGGAAATAGGCCAAGAACGTAATGGAGACCCCTCAGCAGGTCTTTCCACTTTATGACCTCTCAGTAGGACTTCTTATTTGAATATGTTACCTGCTGCTGGCAACTGCTAGCATCCATGAAGGAGTCACACTTTGGAATTTTATGGAACAGTTTATGGAACTATGCTTTTTATGAAATTGTGACAGGTTAAGGTTCAGGAATTGTTGGTGATGGTATCTGTCAGTGATAGTATTTGACTGCAAAAACTCACTCAAAGCAATATACGGAGAAGTTGTAGTCCCCAATAAAAATATTCAGCAGGCAGAGTGCATTTCTAACCCAACAGGGGTTCCTATGGGGCAGAAGACAGGTTCAGCCCATTGACTGATCCCAGCAGTTATGATGGAGCCTTCACTAACTTTTTCTCCATTCTTGGCTTACTTTTATAGTATTTCTTTATATTTAGGTGAAGCTTGAGTGACTCTACTCATGCATATATTTGCTACTGACTGGTGTAAAATCCTCTCACTTCACTTTCAAAGATACAATCAAAAAAATGTATAGGGCTCATTTTCATTGAGAGGTTTTCATAATTTGGAGGCAGTTAACTTTGGGATGGAGGTGTGCATTAATATTACAATTAGGCTATAATAAACCACGTTCATCTGAGGAAAGCGATTTTGCCACATTGCTAGCTTGGCAGCAAGACATCTCTCTCACAGCTGCTATGCAGTTAATCAGCTTCGAAGTACCATCAAGTTGCTGCCAAGGATTTTGGCAGAGCCTGGTCGAGGTATCTCCATTCCACTGCACCCTTCCCTTAGCAGGTGCTTATGGTTGTATGGGGAATCATTGTGCAGCATGCCAACCCAGTTCCATCCTGGGAACAGCATCTGTATTTTACCCTAAAATTTCTGTCCCGTTGTAACTCCTGTTAGGATACAAATGTAACTTAGTTTTCTCTGATTTTACCCTCAGTCATCTTTCCATACAAACATTGCTCCCCTCTCCAGAGGATTATTGTGAGCAGATGTGAGCCCTGCTGTCCCTTTGGACTGAGAAAGACAGGTTTTTTCCCAAGTTCCTTTTGAACCTGTTGTGCACCTGTTACAAGTCTTCAGTCTCCTGCAGTTTTGTGGGTCAGTCATGTGTAGAACAGCACAACTGGCTGGCATGCTTTGCTTGTGAGGGGAGACAAGAGAAGAATCCCTCTGTTCACACCAGACTTGCAGCTGCCAAACCTCACCAAAGCACCTGAGGAGCCCCCAGGGATTGATGGCACAGAGGGAGCTGATGGAGGACAGCACAGCAGGCAGCCTGTCCTCCCATCAGGTCTGGCTTATGGTGCCACCCTGAGGGTTTCCCCTGTCTTCGGGCAGTCCTAGCTACTGCAGCTCACTTGACAGAGACTCACTGTCTATACTGTGCTTGGCTACACTGGAGAGGATGAAGCTGAGGACAGCAATGGTTGCCTTCACATCCCCTGACTGCAGACGGGAGGGAGGGCGAGCTCTGTCACCTTGGGAAGGCATCTGCAGATTCATTGCTGCCCATCTCTGGAGCATGGCTCTATCGGGGGATCGTGGTAAGGACAGCAGTGCTCACCTAACTTTGCACCTGAGGACAGCTTCAGGATCTTGTCATACTGTGGGAGAGCAGAGCTTCACAGTAAACACCAGCTAACACGCTTACTACCAGTGTTAACACTAACAATTCTTACCCAAATATTAATACTAATAACACTTACTATGCATATTATTAATGCTAGTAGAGGCTGGTAGCGTTCTTAATGCTGAGGCTTGCATGAAGAACACAAAATTAATTAATGTTGCTGATTATGCTATTGTGGTGTTGAAATACTTGGCCTCCACTGCAGTAGCCCCACACTTACCTCGATGGCCTCCCCCAGCAGGTCCCGAAGCACTGGGATGCAGATCAGCTTAAGCATCACTGATGTGATAAACAGAGTTCACTCTTTAAAATTTTTAAAAGTTTAATAAAGGATAAAAGGACAAAATAATCTAGCACTGGGGTGCTTTTGGCACCCGGCCACAGAGCACAGAGGTAGCTTAAAATCATGTTCAATATATATGGTTACATTGCTGGGGTTACACGCATATTCATTAGCTTATACATTATTCAAACATTCCTTTGAGTTTTTGGTGTTCCAGGAACTCTCTTGTTTGGTTTTAATCTCTGACTTGTCTGCAGAACATTCTGTAAATTAGGTCTAAATATTTTATTTCTTCCTGTAGTTTTATCCTGTTGCTTCACACTCCCTGATAGCGCCGACAGAGCTGATAAATCTTCCTGGATGCTTATGCTTTGTTTTTGTCACTGTTATCTTATCACTTGGCCGGGCCAATCCGCAGATACAAGAAACACAGTAATTGCTTTACACCATTCTCTGAGGTAGTTACATAGAAGTATTTTAGTTTCTATTTTAACTTTCTGTTAAAGCCTACGATGTATTTATCACACTACTATTCATATGAAATACACAGTGCATACATAAACTGGCATATTACATAATACAAAGCAGTTAAAAGTAAGTACAAGTTGTACCATATCAAAATACTTGTGATGCAAAAAGCTAATCTATGAATGGGAAAGCCAATATTGTTTTATCATCTATAACATCCGACCACTGTGGGGGAGAAGGAGGGTGAGCAGCGGGCCCGCAGCGGGCGGGGGGACGCGGGCACGTAACTTTGGCCAGGGTGCTGATCTCGGCTAGTCGGGGCAGGCCAAGTCCCCGCAGAAGCGGAAGCACTGCAGGGGAAGAGGCGCCCAGAGCCCGGAGCGGGCTCTGCACGCCCTCCCCACTCCCCGCTGCCAAACCCTCTCCTCACCATGTCGCCGCCGCTACCAAACCCCCTCTTCACCAAGTCGCCGCCGCTCCCTAGTCCGCGCTGCTGTCGCAGAGTCCGCCTTTGCGACCCGGAACCACTCCCGGGCTGCACCACCCCCACCGCCCCCCTCCCCGCCCCTGCCCCGAGTGCCGATGGGGCGCTCCGGTAGGGGCTCTGCGGGGGTCTTTTCGCCGGGACCTGGGCACGAGAGAGGGCCGGATGAGGGGACGGGGGAGGGTCTCGCGAGCGGGACCCACGGCGCCCGCGGACCCTTCGGGCAGCCCAGGCTCCGCCCCACGCTCCCACGGGCCGCAGCCTCACGGCTCCCAAGACTGCCAATCCCGGCCCGCCTTTCTCCGCCCGCCCTGTCCAATCACAGCCGCCCTTTCAATCCGGGCGCGGTCCCGCCAATCTCAGCCCGCTCAGTCGCGGCCCGGCCCCTCAGCCTGGCCCCACTCCCCCGTACGCCTGAGGCGCCGCTCCCGCCACCGCCGCTTTGGGAGCCGGCGGAACTGTGTCCCCGCTGCCGCTGCCTCGGCAGGCGCTGTTGGGGCCGGGAAGGGCGGGCCGGGAGCGAGCTTCAGTTCAGGTCCTGACCGGGATCAGGTTCTGGTCCAGGGAAACGGGCAGACGGCGGGGAGCGGGCGGACGCGGCCCCTGCAATGGCGGCGGGAGGTCGCGGAGCCGAGCGCGGCGGGAATGGGCGGGCTGGGATTGGTGGGGCCGGCAGGCGCTGCCTCGGGTTGTGATTGGCTGGCTGGTCCGGCCCTGGGGCATAAATAGCGTGCGTTGAGGCGCCGCAGGCGTCAGTTCGGCGGCGGAGCTGGAGCGACGGGAGCTGTGGGTGCGCGATCTGAGGAGCGGCGCTGCGCCGGGACGGGACCCCAGTGGCAGCTGATCCGGGGAGCGCTGGTGAGCACGGACGCGACGCCTGCGGCAGCATCTGGGAGCCGGTTGTGTCCAGTTCTTTCTGCCGCGCCCTGCGCGGCTCGGGTAGCTGGCGACTGGTGTGGGGCCTGGAGTGGCGCGGGGGGGAACCGGGTGTTGTCACTGGGGGCCGGGAAGTAGCCGTTCCGCGGTTTCTGGATTTAAAGTATTGTTCAGAATACGAGGAATAAAGCTTGCTTTTTTTGCATTTTTATTACTTTATTTTGTTTCTACTTATAATGATTTTTTTCTTTATTGTGTTATTTTATCATTGCTCGTTTTATTACATCTTTTTGGTTTGATTTGTTTACTAGATATCTGACGTTAATTCAGTAAGGGTTGTGGGACTGGGGCTGAAACACCAGTTGTGAGATCAGTGGGGACATAAAACCCCAGGAATAATGATATCGACATGAGTCAGGCCCAAAACAATGTGGAGCGGTGGAAATGCTGGGGCTAGAAAAATGCCATGGGAGAAGGGCACGGAGCTGCAGCACAGGGCCTGCAGGACATGCCTGGGGCTTCCCAGCCCCTGCCCCGTGGTACCAAGCAGAGAGGCTGCGGGTGTGGGGGCTCAGAGGGTTCCAGGGCCCAAGAACCAGCCCAAGGGTGCCTTTTGGGATGGGGGAGCAGGAGCCCGGTGGCTATTCCCAGCCCCTGGAGCTGCCTGGGAGGAGGTGAGGGGGCCTTTGTGCAGGTGCTGGGCTGAGAGCCAGAGGGAGGGAGAAGGTAGATGTTGAGCTTCAGGCCTCAAGTGTCCCCAAAGTTGGGATCCCGCTGGGGTGGGTGGGACAGCTTCTAGAGACATTGAAATGATGGCAGTAATTGATTTGTGACCTTATCAACAGCCCCAAGCTGCAGTGAGAAGCAGGAGCAGCTTTTAGCTACAGCCAGTAGGAAGCTGAGGAGCTGGAGCTGAGGCAGCAGAGCTGGAGGAGACAGAAATATGGTAGGGTTTGGGGTAAAACCCCTGTGGGAATGTGGAGCTGGGAGGTGAACTGCAGGGTTGGAGCTGAAATTGCTGTTAAGAGCTGCGATCTGAGCTCAAACCACACAGAGCTAGAGCTAAAACAAAGATCCTGCCCTAAGAAGCAGTACTAGCGTTATGTGGCACTGCTGTGAAGATGTTGAGCAGGAAGTGGAACAGAAGAGCTGGCAGTGAAATAAAGCTTGTGGGACTGGAGCTGAAATCACTGGGGCCAGGGTGGGGACTGCAGTGCTGCAGCATCAATTACTGCTCAAAGGGAGACTCACTGTAGATCTGAAGAGTAACCATAGAATGAGACACACAAGTGAAAAATCTGGAAATAGAATGATGACTACCAGAATGGGGTGAGAATGGTGATACTGAATGTGGATATGAAACCCCAAAACTGCAGCCGAAGCCAAAACCCTGTTTCAACCTGAGAGCAGCTTTGCCTGTCAGAGCTAGAGAAAAGTGCCAGCTAGGAGGGAGAGAGCTGGCAGTGAAATACAGCTTGTGGGTCAACAGCTGAAATCACTGGGGCTGGGAAAGGGGAATGGTGGGGTTGGGATTGAGACTGCACATGGGATGGAGACTGAAAGGCTGACATAGAGACTGTATGATTTATGTGCTAAACTCACTGCAGGCCTGTGATATGAATACTGGGGCTGAGTATTGTGACTGAAAGTAGAACAGGATATGTGAAGTGGAAAAGGGGACTGCAACCTTGTGCCTGAAAGCCCCGTCGATGCCGTGATATTGTCGAGATTTGTAATGGCATCTCTAGGGAACGAGCTGAAATCACTGTGGGGCTGGGATTGTGGTTGAAAATGCATAAAAAACTAAGGCTGAGAATGGGACTGTGAGCATCGAAGGGAACTTATGCAGGGGCTCGCACAGTGACAAAAGTGTTCTTGTGTCGAAATCACTGTAGGCCTGTGACATGGATGCAGGGGCTGGGGATTGTGACCAAAAGTAGAACAGGATGTGTGGAGTGGGAAAGGGGGCTGCAACCTTGCGCCTGAAAACCCAGTTAGTGGTAGACTATTGCTTCCGCCTGTGATGGCACCTCTAGAGGTGGAGATGAAATGAATGTGGGGCTGGGATTTGAAAGTGGAAAAGGTGCTAGACCTGTGAACAGGGCTGTGGGAATTGCGGTGAGCTTATGCAGGGGCTGGCAAAGTGACTGGAGATTATTGGGTGGGAGCTAAAAAACCTGCAGGACTGGAATATTGCTGGTGGAGTGGGCTTCGAGAGGCTCGTGTGGGAGGTGAATTGTTGCTGAGCTGGAGCCAAGAGCAAGATGCTGCCCTTTGAAGCTGGAGAAACACAGAGCTGGTGCTGGAAGAAGAGAGCTGGCAGTAAAATAAAGCTTGTGGGCCAAGAACTGAAAGAGCTGAAATCACTGGGCCTGGTGCTGTCATCATTGTGGGTCTGGGATCGCGGCTGAGCACAGCATAGGAACCATAGGTCTGTAACGGAGACTTTAGTGTTCTTGCTGCGAAATCACTGTAGGCCTGTGACATGGCTGCAGGGGCTGGGGATTGTGACTGAAACTAGAACAGAACATGTGGACTGCAAAAGGGGGCTGCAGCCTTGCGCCTGAAAACCCCGTCGATGGTAGAATCTTGTTGGCACCTGGGATGGAACCTCTAGAGGTGGAACCAAAATCAATGTGGGGCTGGGAAGTGGACAGTAAGGCTGTGATTTGAATGAAAACAGAAAAGGTCCTAGTCCTGTGAATGGGGCTGTGGGTCTCGAGGTGAACTTATGCAGGGGCTGGCACAGTTACTGGGGATTGTTGGGCGGCAGGTAAAATCACTGCAGGGCTGGAATATTGCTGTTGGCGTGGGCTTTGAGAGGCTGGTCTGGGGGCTGAATTGTTGCTGAGCTGGAGCCAAGATCAAGATGCTGCCCTTTGAAGCTGGAGAAACAGAGCTGGTGCTGGAAGAAGAGAGCTGGCAGTAAAATAAAGCTTGTGGGTCAAGAGCTGAAAGAGCTGAAATCACTGGGCCTGCTGCTGTCATCATTGTGGGTCTGGGTTGGGGGCTGAGCACGGCATCGGAACCATAGGGCTGGCATAGAGACGGTAAAATAAAGCTTGTGGGTCAAGAGCTGAAATCGCTGGGCCTGGTGCTGTCATCATTGTGGGTCTGGGATCGCGGCTGAGCACGGTATAGAAACCATAGGGCTGGCAGGGAGACTTTAGTGTTCTTGCTGCAAAATCACTGTAGGCCTGTGACATGGCTGCAGGGACTGGGGATTGTGAGCGAAATTAGAAAAGTATGTGTGGAGTGCGAAGAGGGCTTCTACCTTGTTATTGGAAACCCTGTTGATGGTAGAATATTGCCTGCGCCTGTGCTTGCACCTATTGGGTTGGAGCTGAAATCTCTGTGGGACTGGGAAGTGGACTGCGGGGCTGGGACTTGGAAAGAAAACAGAAAAGGTCCTAGTCCTGTGAATGGGGTTCTGGGCATCGAGGTGAACTTATGAATGGGCAGGTAAAGTGACTAGGGGATTGTTGGGTGGGAGGTAAAATCACTGCAGGGCTGGGATATTGCTGGTGGAGTGGGCTTTG